GGGGGGAAGAGTCAGGGCTGGGTCCGTGGCACACGCACACATGAGCCCGGCAAGGGCCCCTCTCCGGGGCGCTGCCATTGAAAAGCCCCCACTGGGCTTCCCAGAGCCCAGCTCCGGATCACCCGGTTTTTGTATCCCTCTCTCTTTTTGGTTGACTGATACACGTATGTCCCCCGCGCCGCCCCCCCCCTCTCTCTCTCTCTCTGCCCCTCTCATGCCCATCTTATCCCCCTAACACCGTTGATCACCCCCGCGCAGATCCCCTCCCCCACCCGCCACCATGTCGTGCTGCAGCCGCTTCTCCAGGGCCATGCTGATCCTGATCAACATCTTCTTCCTCGTCGCCGGTCTCGGTGTCCTGGGAGGAGGTATCTACACCCTGGTTGAGTCCAACCGCCTGGGTATCCCCTCTTCCATCTGCATCGGTATCATTGTCACCGGCTCCCTGGTCTTCCTCATGTCTCTCGTTGGTCTCATCGGCGCTTCTCGCAAGAAGGCCGGCCTCCTCTGGTTCTACTTCACCCTCTGCCTGCTTGTCCTCCTCGCCCAGATCGCTGTCGCTGTTGTTGCCTACTTCTTCTCCGACCAGTCCATGGAGTGGCTCGAGGAGTACGGTTGGGACAAGGCCAGCCAGGAGACTCGTGACTACATTCAGGACACCGTGCGTGTCCCCCCCCCCTCCCCCGCCTCCTCCACTGGCCCTTTCCCTTTCCCCAATGGGCTTTCTCCCCTCCCCCCTGCACGTGTTTCGCCTGCCTGACATCCCACTTGCCCCCCTTGCCCTTGCCGCCTCCCTGATGCCCCGCTCTTCGCGCAGTTCGAGTGCTGCGGCTTCCAGCACAACGAGCCCGGCTGCCCGGTCGACAACGGCTGCGGTGACCAGATGTATGACACCTTCGTTGCCTACAGCACCTACGTCTACATCGCCGGCTTCGTCCTCGTCGGCTTCCAGGTTCGTCCCTCCCCCCTTTCTTTTTCTCCCTGGCCCCGGCGCCCCCTTCTGCCCCCGGGAGATGTCGCCTGGTGGCTGCGCTGTTGCATGCTCCTCCCCCCTCCCGCGCCTGCTGCTGACCGTGCTGACTCTGGGCCTTTCTCGCTCTCCTCCCTCCCTCCTCCTCCCACAGGTCATCGGCCTCATCTTCACCATCATCGTCGCCGTCTCGGCCCGCAAGGACTCTTACTAAGCGGCTCGACGAGCGGGCAAGTCGCCGGTCGTGTATGCCTACCTCCTCTCGTACACCCACGCGTGCTGCTCCCCCTCTCCCTGCTTCCCCTCTCGGTGTACATGTGCCTCGAGCAAGTAGGAGCGAGGCCATCTTCCCTGCCGGGAATGAATGTGCCAGTTGTCGTCGTCATGCCCCTTCCACACCTGCATCCCTTTCTCCTCTCGCCCGCCCCTCTCCTCCACTCTCTCTCTCCCTGCAGGGAGGAGCGACCGCGCGCTCGCCACGTCCATTGGGCGGATCTCCTTTCACGCTGCGCGTGCAAGGCCTTCGATCCCACTCCGCGTGTGTGCGTGTGTGTGTGTGAGGCACGGGCGGCCAGCACACAGGATCCAGGACCCTCCAGGGTGGAACTTGGTGGTTTTCTCTGTCCCACAAACCTGAGCCTTTCAGCCTCCCCTCCTCCTTCTTTCTCTCTGGCCCATTCCCGCCGTTCGGGATTCCGGGACGTGTGGGGACACACGCGTCAAGGCCGATACGTGCCCCCCTGCAGGTGGCATTATTCTCTCCAGGCTGCTTTCCCCCCTCCCCCCTCCCCCCCTCTCCCTCTCCTCTCCGCTTTTCGACCTTCTTCCCCCCCCCCCTCAAAAATGAGCCTGCGAGAACGTGCAATGCCGGGCATTCCGTTCTTGTTTCCTCCCCCTGGGCCGGAGTGGCTCATGCGTGTGTGTGGGTGAGTGTGTGGGTGCTTGCCGCCCCTGCGTCGGCCTATGCTCCTCGCATGCTGGGCGTGCATAGCACCCTCCCTCACCCTCCTCCCTTAAACTATGTCACATTTTTTAGGCCCAATCGACGCATTCTCCCTTTTTCTCCCTTTTCTCGTTTTTTTGCTGGCGGCCACAGTTGGTTGTGCGGCCGGGGGGG